GGCTGTTCTTGTGACCTTGTCAACTATCTCACACGGTGACTATCTTTTCCATTTTCCCTTTTGGATCAACTATGTATCATACTAGATTGCACCTATACTCGTGCACATTTTAAACTTGCAATCAGGAAAAAATTTATTTCTGCTCCAAAAAAGTTCCCTGGTCAAATTCTCATTTTCCATTGTTCTCTCAATTTACCGCAAACATCCAAATCCGAAATTCAAATGCCTTCCTACCTTCTTTGGGGTTACATCTTCCTTTTTTTCTCACCTTTCCTCTATCCTCATTTCCCCACCACGGGAAACTCGAGACCTGCTTTCTAGCTTTTTCCCTTGTTTCACTTCCTCTGACCGTCCCCCCCCCCCCCCCCCATCTTGGGTTTCCCCCGGGAAATTTACACGTTACCTATGGAAAAAGACATGAAATAAAATTTCGATTCACTAACATTAAATAAATTTGCCCCCTTAAATAAATTTTAAATCAAATTTTTTTTAAAAAAAAATAAAAAATACCAAAGGAAATATGGGAAATTAAACCCTTCACTTTATTGTCAATGAGAGCACCTCAAATCTAAAACCCAAATTTTCCCACAATGATTTGGAATTTAGTGGGATGTAAATTTTCGTGTTATTTAGTGAACATCAAATATTGACGAGGGTATCATAACACTGGACTAAATGTTTGAGTCCCTTCGTAAACACCCTATGTATGCCGCGGCACTTCCCAAAACCCTGCAGATACAACCACAGCCTCACCCATCTAACCATCATAAACACGTTATTCCCTTGGTTAGTTTTCTCCTAAGGGTTGTTTCTTAGGAATTGTTCCTTTTAAATTTTCTTTGGGAAGGGTTTTTTTAATAACCCATAAGTGTGAAAAATTTTAAGGGATTAGAAGTGTTTAGAAAAATCAGGGGAAATTTTTTCCAGGAATCTGGGTAAGTGGGTGGTTTTTTTAAGTGTTTCCCTAAATGACAGTATTCAAAAACCCAAGTATGAAAGAAGTCTTATAAGTCCCCTTACTTTTGCAATAAGGCCTTGATAGGTACGCTGCTTTCCCCCAAAGAGTAAACCAGAAACCCAATCTCCCCTGACACCCCAATTTGTAAAAGGGGAAAGGGGAAAGGAAGGGTTTTCCCTTTTAAAAGTTTTTTCCTTGGAAAGTTTTTCTTAAGGTAAGTTGTTCCAATAATTTTTTTCTTAGGTTTTAGTTTTTTTTTTAGGTAAGTTGTTCCTTGGGATTTTTTCCTTAGATAAGTTGTTCCTTAGGTTTTGTTCCTTGGTAATTTGTTTTTTGGTTTTTGTTTCTTATG